GCAACGCCTTGAGTTGGATCCCCAGCACCACAAAAAGATTAAATAAATAACAAATAAAACTTCATGGCAGAGATAATAGTCTTGAAAAACCAATGCATTTGATTTGAAGAGAAGAGCCTGATGCCCAAGAAAGTAGGCCCAAGGGGTTAGGTCTCAAGCTATGGGTTAGAATAGGGTGGGTGAGGAGCCAGCATATTCCCCAAAGACAAGATTAGAGATGGGGACACCAGGTGGAGCTGGATCAGGTCAGTGGGTGGGACCAAATCTGGACAGGTCAGGAAGGCAGAATCAGCATCAAGAAGACCCAGGAGAGGCTGAGGCAGCTCCCATTGAGCATCTGTGGTCACCTTGGCCTGTGTCCATATTCACACGAACTGTCAACTCACTGGGGGAGCAGGGCCCTCTCTGCCAAGGTCCAACAGAAGTGACGCCTGGCCAGCCCTGAGTTTGCTCTCTCCATCCACTACCCACGTGTTCTATAGCTCTTCTGGTCCAGAGGGCAGTGGTGATGTGGGAAGGAAGCCCCAGCATCTGCGCCTGGTGAATTAGACAGAATAAGCCCAGGATTCTGCCCCAAGGAAAGCAGTCATGGCAGGTCCTAAGGCTTTACATGGGTTTAGAGTCTTTTTAAAATCAAAGAATATGCCAGGCGGGGTGGTGCACACCTGTAATCCCAGCAGCTTGGGAGGCTGAGGCAGGAGGATCGAGAGTTTAAGGATAGCCTGGGCAACTTAACAAGAGCCTGTCTCAAAACATAAAAAAGGGCTGGAAATGTAGCTTCGTGATATAGCACTTGCCTAGCATGTGCAAGGCCCTGGTTTGAATTCCCAGTACATCAAAAAAAAAAAAAAAGCCCCATGGGGCAGGTAGGCAATATCATTTCAGTGATAAAAGGACACAAATTTTCTAAGACAGCCCTTCCTCCTTCAGGTAGCCCAAAGGGCATTTGCTAAATAAGGTGCAGCCAACATGGTTCCAAGTCCCCAGTTAGTGGTGATTTATAAGAAAAGTATAAAGTGCTATCCCTGCCTCTGTGGAGCACTCCTGGGTGTTCTCCTGATGTGTCCCTGCCCACTCCCTTTTCCCTGCTCTTTCCCTCCCTCCCCTGTCAAGGTCCAGTCCTTCACTCAATAAGTCTGCCCTGACCACTCCCAGGCACTTGCCATCTCCCCACAACAAGACCTAGTTTCCCTGCTTGACTCTTGCCCTCCAGTTCCCTTCAGTCAAATCAGCCAGAAGGAGGTGTCCATTTCTGCTTCAAGCCCTCCAGGGCTCCTTAACAGAGTCCAGCTTCCCTTGGGCAAGGATTCAGGGCTCCCCTGGGCTCCCCTAGGCTGGCTCCACCTTCGTCCTCTGTGCCCTGAGCCATACCAGTGCTTGGGAAGCAGAGAGCTGGGCAGGTTGCTCCTGGTTCTCTCATCAGTGGCTTCCTGAAGACTGTGTGGGCTGCAGCTGGTGAGCCCCAGGGCTGGGCTGCCCTGGGCTCTGACCACCAGCTGCAGACATCTGGCCGGGACCCCTGTCCCTTTCTTCCCCTTTGCTTTCCAGCTTTCTCTTCCCTCGCCTCCTCCTCAGTCCCCAACCTCATCAAATTTCAGACTCTCCAGGCAGAAAAGGCCCCTCCCTGTCATTGTCCCTGTGGGAAACTGGTCAAGGTCATGGAGCAGGTCAGCGTTGGTCTGAGACGGGAAGTCAGAGGAAGCCTCAGTCGCACATCCTGTCGTGTCTGCAGCCCCCTAGGGAAGGAGAGGCAAGCTGCCTCCTCTGGCTCCCTCCAATGCTCCCTGAGGACAAGTGACCTCCAGGCCAGCAGAAGGCTTGGTGCCTCCTTGAGAGCTTCCCTCCTCCTACACCTGGGGTGTTTTGGATCCTGGCTGCTCTGGGTGTCTGCTTTGTCATGAGGCCTGGTGCCTGTGGTTGGGTCATTAATTCTGGGGTGGGTGGGAGGTGGCAGAAGGGACTCAGCTCAGAACAAATAAGCTGGATAGAAAGGCCATAATCTGCCACCTGCTGGCTGGATTCAAGTTTCTAGCAAATTCTTCCTGATCTTTAAATCTTGCTGTAATTACGGTGACCTTGAAATCCAAGATCTCTGTCCTTAGTATCCCTTCCTCCATCCTCCCACCTGAGGCCCAGTCTGTTAACTTGGTGCACACCAGCAGCCTACCCACCCCAGGGGGTTTATCTATGAAGGTGGCTCTGGCAGGGGCAGTGCTTAATCCAAAGGGACTACATGCTAAGGGCGGGGAATTCCAGGCAGGGTCACAAGCCAGGTGTGGGGAGGGGACAGGGTGCTCCAGGACAGTAGTTTCCTAGAACCTCAGGCTCTACCCTGTAACTGCTCACCTTCTGTCTCTGAGTAAGGCTGACCCATTTGTGCTTGCTAACAAATTGAAATTCCAAGGAAAGACAGGCGGCAGGTTGATCCCAAATAGGAAACACACGTACATGAGGGAACAAGGAGGTTCTGCCAGCATCCCAGACAGCCCCTCTTCCTGCCCCTCACTGCAGGTGTGCCGGGCCTCCGAGGGATCAGCTAGCAGCCCCGTCACAGTCACCACCGATTTCGAGCTGGAGGACAGGGTGGAGCTTGGCGGGGGGGGGGGGGGGGGTTTTCAGTATGAAGTCATTTCCCACAGTGAAGGAGCAGCCACGTTCTACACGGTCCACTGGCAGTCTGGGATACTTGCCCAGTAGCAGGAGAGTCTAAAAATGCCCAAACCCATCTTGGGATCTCAGGAAACTGGCTGGAAGACAAGCAGGGAGTCAGCAAACTCCAAAAAACAACTGCCCATTCCAAGCTGAGCCCAGCCAAGAGCAAAGCTCATCCTAGCTCTCGGGTAACTCTGCCTGGAGATGTGATGGTGCCCACAGACAGACCACCGGCTGGAGCCGCTCAGGGGCAGGCCCAGCACCCAGTATTGAGTAGGTTCAGCTGCTTGGTATGAGTTAATAAACTAAGTTGGAAAACCAGTTGGGTATCAGGGGGCTGGATAAGGAATTCTAGGCATGCCCAGGAAGGCACCCTTGCTAATAGCAGGGGTAATAGGGGCCTCTCCATAGATGGGATGGGTCTGGAGTTGAGCCTACGATATCTTTACCTAGGGAAAAGAAGGAGCAAACACCTCGGGGGGAGCATGGCTACAGAGATGGTTCAAAAAGCCACAGAGGGCTTGCTTGCTTACATCTTTAAAGATATATGGTGGGCAAGGCCATCATTGGCAGAGGGATCAGTGTAACAGACCAGGCAAGGAATATATCCTACCATATGAAGAATTTAAGGACAAGGGGCAACCATTGGGAAACCAACGAATTTTTCAATAAATGCAGAAATGTAGTTGGGAAAATGAACTACTGAGGGGAGAGGGAGAACAAGTTGAACTCTGACCTTGGACAGTCTAATAAGTAATGATTATCTAGGTGCTGTGGTGCATGCCTTCAATCCCAGCAACTCAGGAGGCTGAGGCAGAGGATTGTAATTTCCAAGCCAGCCTCAGCAACTGATGGAGACCCTGTCTCAAATAAGAAGGGCTGCAATGTAGCTCAATGGTAAAGGGTCCCTGGGATAAATCCCCAGTAATAAAATTAAATAAATAAATGAGTTACCCAATTGGGCTCAGATTTGGGGAAAAGGTGGGATAGGTCAAGAAGACAGATTACCTGTCCATATATTCACTTGTTCCCCTGGGCCCAGATTGGGGGAAGCCTGTCAAGGGACTATCTCCATCCTCCCAACATCTAAGGAGAAGGAGCTTATGAGGGCCAGACTTCCACTGGACTCAAAATTGCTTTCAAATCCAGGTTTTGTCAATCAATCTCAAGCAGAACCTCTAGGAGTGTCTTTGTTCACATTTATGTTCAGCAGAAGTGCTTTCTGGCACCTAAGCCCGTGGGAATCTCCCCGTCTGCTTTCCTTTTCCTGATACAGTTGTTTGTACCACTTGATCCGGGCAATGGGTGTATTTGGGGATTTGTCCCATCCTCTCAACTGCTGGTATAATGGAAACGAGATGTAGACCAGGAAGGGACCCTAGGAATTGTCCACATCCCTTATTCTGTAGATGAAAAATAAATATTGCCCAGAAAGAAAGAGTGACTTAACATCACACAGCTAGTCAGGACCAGGACTGGGCCTGGACTTCTGCTTGGTGTCCTGCCCAGGACTCCTCTGCAGCCCTCTATCATCTCCTCCTTGACCCTCTTCTCTAAGACTGACACTGTTTTCTTCTGGCTCTTTTGAGTTTCCTGTGGTGGCTTTGCACCTGTCTTCTGTCAGACAACCCTGGCTTGGTGACGGAGTGTCACCTGTCTCATGATATGATGGCACGGGGTGGGGGTGGGGGCTCCAGAACAGCTGTATCCAGCTCTGGGCCTGACTGGGGACAAGGCATGTCTCCTTTGGTCCTGGACCCAGGAGATCCATGTCCCCAGGCCTCTCACCCCTTACAATGGCTGAATGACCTTGAACATGTCACTGCTCAGCCTGACTGTCCTTGAAAATGGGAATATATCCTGTTCCTCTGCTGTGAGAATAATGTGTGTCGAGTGTATGGAATTTGCTTTGTAAACTGTGAAGTGCTGTTCCAGTGTAAGACACTGGTCTCCCCAGAGCCCAAGACAGAGCAGAATAACTATGGAACTATTGAGTAACTCTAGGATGATAGTTCTCAACTTGGGGCGATTTTGACTCCTCTGGGGCCATTGGGCAGTTTCTGGGAACATTTAAATTATCACAACTGGGTGGGGGTTTCTGTGGCATCGATGGGTGGAGGTGGGGCTGACTGCTGAACCTTTTCCAATGTACAAGACAGCCCCATGGCCAGGGCTTGTGTGGCCCCCCAAACCTGTGAGGAATGAAGATGCAAAAGCACATCTGTGGTACGGAGCTGGGTTCTTATTCCAGAAGGGCAAAGGAACTGTGCGTGGGGAGTTGACCATTGAGGTACCACCTGATCAAGAGCAGGAACCACCCAGGGTTAAATGAGATGGCCATGCCCAGCTTTGATACATTGAAAACATTTTATTTCAACTCTATCCTTGGGAGGCAGCATAAATAATCACAGAAGACCACAAAGGTCGATGGGAGAGAAAAAAAAGCGCCAGAAGTGTGAGACGAGATGAGCTGATGCTGCCTGGCGGCGAGGAGGGACCAGGAGACCCTGCTTCAGCTCTGGGAGGGTGGGGGGTGTCAAGGAGAGGCCCAGGGCTGGGGGCTCACCCCTCCCAGCCCCCTGGAGGGCCAGTGGACAGGATGTCCTGCAGGGTGGCTGAGGAAAAGCAGGTGGAGTGTCCTGGATCTAGCAGATTCTAGCCAGTGGGAGAAGAGTGGACACCCATGTCTTGATCCCCAGATCTCACTCCCAAGCTGTGACTTTTCTGAGAACAGTGCTTTGGGGCTCTGTGGGTGGTGGACCATGAGAGGAGACAAGGAGGAGAAGGAAAAAAGAAAATGTGCAGAAGACCAAGTGAAATGTGGCATCCCAGAGTGGTGCGCCCTCGGGCCATCGCCCGGTTCCCACATCTGCACAATGGAGCCTGTGAGGATGGCGGGATCCTATGTGTGAAAGGATGGTGGCGACTTGAAACTGCGGCACTGATGTGAGCGGCTGTGGTCAGCTGTGGTCGTTCTACGTGCGTAAGGCTGAGAGTGGCTGAGAGAGCGGTGGGGAGAGACACAAGCAGAACATCCCCAGAAGCCATCGGACCCCTGCTCCGCCTGCCCCAGGACGAGCTCCACCCTTCTCAGCCTTGGCTTCCTCCAGGAAAGAGGCCTCATCTCAGATGGAGTCCCCTGAGGGCAGGGTGAGAGCAAGGGGGTCTGGGGCCCCCAGCATGGGGGGTCTCCACCAGGCAGTGTGGCACTTTGGCACTACTGGTGTGGGACAGACGTAGAAGTGGCTTCCGGTTCTCCTTCTGGAGAAGCCTACAATGGGATTGGCATTCGATGCAGTGGGAAGGGCCCTGGCCTTGGGGCCTGGACACCAAGGGTCCTGGTCCTGGGTACACTGTTGACCTGCTGGGTGATTTAGTAGGTCTTGTCCCCATTGCAACCCTCAGTGCTTTCTTTGACAAATGGGGACACTAATCCCTACCCTGGCTGGCTCACAAATTAACTGGGGAAAGGGTGTGCAAGAGCTTTGAAGAGACTCACAGGGCAGGCAAGGGGTCATTATGGCCTTGGAGAGCATCCTCTTCATTCCCTGAAGACAAGGGGCAGGGGGGAGGGGAGGAGACAGAGGGGAGCCTGCCGCGGCTGCCCATGTCAGGTGAGCCAGGGCTGCTGGGACTGCAGGAGGAGCCTGCAACCCAGCCCTCACTCTGTGTTTCCAGCCGTGATCCTGGGCAGGCCTCTGTTGAGTGCTGACATGTCCTGACAGCCCCCTTGGCAGGGGAAAAGTTCAAGTTCTAAGTCAATCAGGGATTCTGCTTCCCCCTCTGCTCTCTCGTCTGAGGAAGACACCTCTCAAGGAGTCTGTGGTCCTGACCCAGAGGAGAAGTTTGGCTCCCGGGTGGCAGGAAAAGGGGCTGTCAGCGGGGGAAGGGGTCTCCAGGAGAAGCTGGGGCTAGTGTTAGCGTGAGGTCAGGAGGTCAAGGGTCAGCTTCCAGTTCTTGAGGCAATAGATGGGGGTCTTCAGGCTGGCCCCCCAACTCCAGCCCTGGCTCTGTCTCTGGGGTCACTGGATAAAGGGAAGTTAAGGGATGAGTAGAAACAACGGAGAGATCGGCTTAGAAATCAGCCCTGCTGAGGAGCTAACAGTTTTTGGGGCTGTTGCGTAAGTTTTTCAGTTCCAGCTGTAGCTGCCGAATGCGGATGTCCTTCTGGGCCAGCTCCTCTTTCAATCGTCGAATCTCATCCTGTTGCCGGAAGAACATTCGGAGGAGCTGGGGTGGAAGAAGAAGAAACAGAAAGCCACGGAGGGCCCGGGAGAGAGCAGGTGAGAAGGTATTTGGCAAGTGGGTCTCCAGATCCCCTGCCTCCCAGGCTTCCATTGCTCTCAGTCCTGGGCAGCCTGGATCCATCCCCATCCACCTTTCACCCTCCAAGCTCAGCCATGGCTCCTAGCTTCCTTGTGACCTAAGAGAAAGGCAGGCGCTCACCGAGGAAGGTGTGGGTCCGGCCCAGCAGTCCAAAGGTGAACCTAATGCTTTTCTTTATCATCCTGGATGGAAACCTTTCTAAGATCTTTTTCATCCTTCTCTTCTTAAGGAGGCTCAGGGTTCAGAACGGAAACTAGTTTTTGGTTTGATTGTGGTGCTAGGGATGGAACCAGCTCCTGATGCATGCTAGGGAAGCTCACTACCACTGAGCTACACCCCAGCCTTGGAATTTTGCTTTTAAAATATGGGACTATGACAAGGTACCAAAGTTTTCACTGAGAGGTGATTCCTTCACTGGGTTGGCACGGGCCCAGCATCAGGTATGTTGGCAGACTTTCACTCAATTGACTCCCTGGATTGACCACTTTCTTCATTTCCTCTATAAAACATACTGACAGATGCCCACAAAACAATGAGCCCTGGAAAACAGCAGGCTACTCCTGACCCTGCACACTAGAGCTGAAGGTCATCCATGGTCACTTGTGTTTATCTAATTCTGATGTGAGTTACATTTACTATTGTACTTGCATACTTTAATTAAATGTGATATACACTGATGAAATGAGTATAAAAGATTTTTAAAAAGAACTTAGCTAAGTGCTTTATAAAATCTTGCTAAAGGTGATGCTAAAAAAGTACAGTTAAGGGCTGGGGTCATGGCTCAGCTGTGGAGCACTCACCTAGCATGTGAGAGGCACTGGGTTCGATCCGTAACACCACATAAAAACAAATAAATAAAATAAAGGTATTGTGTCCAACTACAAGTTTAAGAAAACGTTTTAAAAAATATATAGTTTGCTGGGTATGGTGATTCATACCTGTAATCCCAGCAACTTGGGAAACTGAGGCAGGAGGATCGAAAGTTTGAGGCTAACCTGGGCGATTTAGTGAGACTATTCCAAAATAAAAAGGGCTGGCGGTGGATGAGGATGTGTCTCAGTGGTAAAGTGCACCTGGGTTCAATCCCCAGTACTTAAAAAAAAAAAAATGTAGCTGAGTTAGGCATGGGTGATATAACCATAGAGATTGGGAGATAGGCTATCTCTTGCTGTGTAGCGGTGGCACAACTGTGTGTGTTTGTCAAACCTCATAGGGCTACACACTACAAATGAGGAATTTTATACCCTAATTCACCTGTCTCAAAATCAGATTAGTGAAAACAAGGGCTTTGCTTTCAGAATGACTTTAAATTTTTGTTCCACCCAAATGAAATTAAAACAGGAAATTGGAGGTAGGATGTGATTTATGTGAGAAAGACATGGCAGATTCCAGCCAGGGGAGAACTCATCAGATAAAACACCAAAATATGTTGAATATTTGTATATTTGTATGTTTTAAATGAAAATCAAAATTGATCAAATTATACTATTTTATTGTGTGCATGTATGAATGTAACAAATCTCACTGTTAATAATTATAATGAGCCAATAAAAAGAGGAAAAATTAAAGTCAATTATTTAAGCAATGTCTGCATTATTATTTTTTTTTAAAGAGAGAGAGAGAGAGAGAGAGAGAGAGAGAGAGAATTTTAATATTTATTTTTTAGTTATCAGCGGACACAACATCTTTGTTTTGTATGTGGTGCTGAGGATCGAACCCGGGCCGCACGCATGCCAGGCAAGCGCGCTACCGCTTGAGCCACATCCCCAGCCCCCTGCATTATTTTTGATTCCCTCCCTAACCTACTTTTTTCTTTTCTTTTTAAAATTTTATTAACCAACAAACCACTGGTCCTGAGTATACCTTCTCCAAGGGACAATATGCTATTTTTCTTTATAGTAAATGATTCTGCACAATGTTGCATCTTCCACATTCTCAAAACTTCTTTGCAGGGCTGGGGTTGTGGCTCAGTGGTAGAGCAATCGCCTTGCATGTGCGAGACCTGGGTTCGATCCTCAGCACCACATAAAAATAAATAAGTGAAATAAAGGTATAGTGTCCAACTACAACTAAAAAATAAATATTAAAAAAAACCCCAAAAAACCTGGGGCTGGGGATGTGGCTCAAGCGGTAGCGTGCTCGCCTGGCATGCGTGTGGCCCGGGTTCGATCCTCAGCACCACATACAAACAAAGATGGTGTGTCCGCCGAAAACTAAAAAAATAAATATTAAAAATTCTCTCTCTCTCTCTTTAAAAAAAAAAAAAAAAAAAAAAAACTTCTTTGCAGCCGGGCGTGGTAGCGCACACCTGTAATCCCAGCAGCTCTGGAGGCTGAGGCAGGAGGATTGTGAGTTCAAAGCCAGCCTCAGCAACTTAACAAGATCCTGTCTCAAAATAAAATATAAAGAAGGGCTGGGGATGTGGCTCAGTGGTTAAGTGCCCCTGAGTTCCATCCCTGCACCAAAAAGAAAACAAAACAAAAAACTTCCTTGCAGATATTAGGTCCATTTTTGTCAAAAACAGCTTTATTGAAGTATAATTCTCATACCATAAATTCGCCCATTTCAGGTGTATAATTCAGTGTTACTGAGTTGTACGACCTACGTCTCCTCTGCTGTGTCAAGCTATCAGTTGGTCTTTACGCTTAGATCCATGTGTCTATTGCAGTCCCACTTTCTCTTTGGTTGCTTCCAATCCTCTGTGACAATTAGAACTGTGAGGGGAACCAGAGTCTGCAGGCTCTGAGCAACTTCCTCCCAAGGAAGATGCACAGCTTTGGAACAGAGAGATCATGGCATCAGTTTGGTCTGCTCAGATACCCTTTGAAGTTTCCCTCCGTGTTCTCAGTTCTGATCACACAGGCAAGTCTATAGCTAAATGTTACTTGATTCGACACTACTCTACCCTGCCTGCTCCAGACCCAGGGCCAGACCTGAGTTCAGGCCCTTGCCACTGCCCACCTGGGCAAACTGCAGCCACCTGTGTATCACTACCTTTGAAAGTAGGGCACCTTTCCAAAAACCTTTTCTTAAAAGGGAAAATGTTAAATATTTACAAAAATAGGAAGAACAGCACCACAAACCCCCAAGTATGGATCACCCAGCTTTAACAAATAACACGTAATCATTCTTGCTTCATCTCTGCTCCCTACTTCCCTTCCACCACACCCCTCGGGAATTATTTTGAAGCAAATCCCATTTATCATAAGATTTCATCCAACCCTAGAAAACTGAAAATCCCTCTACAACGGCACACAAACATACGTCACAGCAAACATATTATCAGGGATCCTGTCCGTCTCCCCTTTTAAGACTGTGAGATCCCAGAGGTCAAAGATATTCTGATTTTTATTAATTATAGCAATAATGTAAGTTAGTGGGCCTCCTCTAAAATGTCCATGTCATCCTCCCCCCTCAAGAGTGGGCTGGATCTAATAGGTTGGTTCAAACAAACAGAATATGGAAGAATTGATGTAATGTCATTTCTTTCTTTTTTTTTTTTGCATCAGGGATTGAACTCAGGGGCACTCGACCACTGAGCCACATCCCCAGCCCTATGTTGTATTTTATTTAGAGACAGGGTCTCACTCAGTTGCTTAAGGCCTTGCTTTTGCTGAGGCTGGCTTTGAACTTGTGATCCTCCTGCCTCAGCCTCCTGAGCCACTGGGATTACAGGCAGGCACCACAGCTATTCTAAGAATAGATTAAAAGTCTGTAGCTTCTATCCTGGTGACTCTCTCTTGTACCCAGGCTCTGAGGAAAGCCAGCTGCCATGTGTGTGGCAAAATCCATATGGAAAGGACCTGAGGAAGCCTCTGGCCAACATCCCATGAGGAACTGGGGCCTTCAATCCAGTTGAAGTGAGTGAATGTGGAAGTAGATCCTTTCTCAGTCCAGCCTTTAGAAGTGACCACAGCCCCAGCGGACAGTGTAACCACAGCCTCACGAAAGCCACAGCACCCATAGAAACTGTGAGATGATCAACACTTGTAAGTCACTTAAGTTCTGGGGAAATTTGTTACACAGCGATAGATAGCTATTACAGTTGGCCTCTTTCCTTGAGCACTTAGTACAAACTGGAAAGAGCAGTACAGATTATCTCTTTAATGCTCATGGCATCGCATACCCCTATTTTTCCATGAAAAAATGGACTTAGATCAAGAAACTTGCTTAGTCACCCAGGAAATAGCAAGGCCAGGATTCAAATGCAGATGGTTCCATGCAACTACTTCAGCTGCACCAGGCCCAGTGCCTGGCACATGGCAGGCCCCTCTGACTGGTAGCTGAGCTGAGCTGTATTGACCCCTGGGTTGGGGGTGGGGAGTGCCTTCAGAGGGTATGGACAAAGCTCAGCTCTAGCTGTCCCTAAAGGAGCTTTCTCCCATTCCAAATGACACAAAGAGCACTTTCATAACTAGCCAGCCCTTTCCATGGGCCAGGAAGTGTCTAAGCCCATCACTGCCCTGCGCCCAGAGGGAGGCAGGGCTGCGATGCACCAGGCCAGGCTTGCTTCTTCCCTGTGACACCACATGACAGCAGCATCCTGAAATGGATTCAGGAGAAGATGCACACCTCCATGCATTAGTGAATTTGAGGCAGGGCAGGGGCAATTATCTCCCCACCATCCCAGCCTCTATTTATTGGGGTCAGAGGCAGTGGAAGCCACAGCAGGCTACTTATAGTGTTTGTCACAAGAAGAAAAATGCTTCCAAATGGAGCTGGCACATGGGGGCCTGAAGCCCATGATTGAAATGTAAAGGTCTTGCTCTTCCAGGACCCGTGTAGGTAATAACTTATATTCCTTACCTCGTTCTCTGTCCTGGGTGGGACATTTTCTAATAAATCTATTCCGTTGACCACAACACTCTTCTTTTCTCTGATGGGAGCCTTAAATACCACTTTTGAGGACTTCTTATAGCCTTCCTTCAGGGACATCAGCACAGGATCTAAGGAAGGCAGGGGAGGTGTCTCACTGACTGGTTGCTGTCAAGTGACGTGCATCTCACTGACATGCTTGACAGCAGGCAGGTGTGAGGGCAAGCAGGTGGAGGGTGTGCCAGGGGCTAGGCTGAAAATGGAGTTGCAGCCTCGTGGCCTCCTCTGAGAAGCCGACCCACAGCGGTACCTCTGTTGATGCCTCCCAGCCATTCATCCGGGGTCAGAGCTGGCTCCGTGCCCGGCGTCATGGGGTAAATGTCTTCCTGGTAGGAATCCGACTGTAGTGGAGGAAGCGCAGGGGAGTGGACAGCTGGGGACTGCTGAGGAAGCCCCTGCCTTGCAGCAGACTTCTCCTCTCAGACCTCCCGCCATGCTGACTGCTTTCCTGCTCCAGGTCTTGGCTCTTGCCATACCAGCTGCCTGGACCTGCCCTTGTACTTAGCAGGCCCAATTGTCCCCACCTGAGCATGTCTCTCTCTACTCTGTACCCGGAGTCTGAAGATCCCAACCCACTGTACCTCCTTCATCTGGGCTCTTCCAGGCTTATGGGCAGCGGTGAGCAAGCTAGGATTCAACACAGGGGCCCTCTGGTGCCCATCCCAGTCCCACTCACCCTGCGGGGCACGATCATGGAGATGGGCTCAATCAGGCCCTTGAGAGTCACCAGCTTGTAGAAGCGGAACACCTCACAGGCCGACACATCCAGCCCGTGCTTGGGCATAACCCCTGTGGAGAGGTGCACACCAGTCCATGGGGGCCCGGATATCCACCCCCCTCGGTGCATTTACCCCTGCCTAGTGTTCTCAGCCAGGGGCCAGGAAGAGGTTTGGAGACAACAACCCAAGCAGAGTGCAGCTGGGTCATTGCCTCAGGCTTGAATCAGGCTCTGATGGAATCCATCGTTCTCTCTTTTCTCTCTCTCTCTCTCTTTGTGCTGGGGATCCAGGGTCTCCAGGTTTACTATGAGTTACGTCTCCAGCCCTTTTTGTTTTGAGATAGGGTTTTGCTAGTTGCCCAAGCTGGCCTTGAACTTGTGATCCTCCTGCCTCAGCCTCCAGAATAGCTGGGATCACAGGCGTGTGCCACTGCACCCAGCGGAATCTGACTCTTGCTGGTCACTTTTCAAATAAGTCCCTTGGACCAGACATGTCTCATCATGTGCACACTTTAGAACCTGGGCCTTGTAGAACCCGAAGAGACTGCAGAAATATTTGAATCTAGTTGACTCCTTTATTTATGAGGCCCCGGAGGGGCAGAGGGGCAGGGTTTATCCAAGATAACAGGGTCCCAGAGCCCATCACCTTCTGAAATGAACTGTCTTCCCTAAGCCTCTGTGTCCTCCGAGAGTGAGGAGGGCAAAGCCACCCCCCTCTCCTAGAGGTTAAACACAGCCTCAGATGTTTTTCTGTTGTATGTCTTTCAGAACAAGCGGTGCTTGCAGGTGACATCTGTGTTTCCCAATGTCCCTAACAACCAAGTCTCCTGAATACCTACTAGGAGGGGACAGTGTGGTGTTAGCACAGATCAAGCCAGGTTTGATTCTGCCCCTCTATCTGCCTCTCTGAGCTCTCTTTCCTCGGACAGAAGCGGCCCCATGAGAGGTGGGGTAGGGATCAAGTGCAAAGATGCCCACTGCCAGCCTGGCACCCTGAGGAGCGTGGGTGGATGGCACTCCTGTCTTTCCCTGTGACGTAAGCGGGAGGTAGGCTCTAGGTCTACCTCCCCGCCCCTGGAACAGAAGCTCCTTTTCCAGATGGTGCAATTCCAGGAGGTAGAGGGGTTGGAGCACTGGGTACCCCCTTGGGATTTGGAGCTAGCAACCCTAAGTTTGAACATTTCTGCCACTTCACAGCTCCAGGACCTGCCTGCCAGGCATGAGTTAACGTAATGTCTTTCAGCCTGAGAAAAATACCTGGCTCATGGTCAATGCTCAGTGGTGGCCAAGGTGAGGAGGATGAGGACAAGGAGGCAGTTACTCTTAGCTCCTCCCCAGCCAGCACACCCCATGCCTTAGCCAGTGCTCCTGACCTTACGCCCAAACATCTCCAGGAATCTCCCCCTCCTCCTCATTTGCATACTATCCACCTAATTATCAGCCTCTCTTGCCTACAATCTACAACTGCTTGCTAACTGGTCTCCCTGCCTCCTAGTGGCCCTTCCCATGTTCTGCTCCCCCATAGAAGCTAGAGCAATCTTACACTAATATTCAAACCACAATGTTGCCCCACCCCTCACCCAAGAAAAAGAAAGTCCTCCAATGAGTTCCAATAAATTCCAAACTCCTTCTCCTAGTTAGTGCTTTCCCCCATCTCCTCTCCATCCCTGCTATATCATAGTCTATGCTGGGTTTAGCCATACGGATCCTCCTTCTGATCCTAGAACATGACAGGCTCCTTCTGGCCACAGGGCCTTTGCATTAACTATTTCTCCTCCTAGGACTACTCTGTTCCTTCCCACCAGGGTTAAGCGCTCAGGTGAGCCAGAATGTATGCTCAGGCCTGACTCCAAAGTCCAGGCTGCTTTCTGTGCTACTTGGTGAAGGGGTGTCCCTGAAGGAGGTAGGGATGACAGAGAGCTGGGGAAAGGTGGGGCAGGTGGAATGGTCATTAGGACTTCAGATATCTCTGGGCCTCCATTCTTCTGTTTGTCATTGAATTGGGCTCTTGGGCCCTTTTCAGCCCTGATGTTCCTGAAGCTGGTCCTCAGGCCCTGTCCATGATACAAGATCCTCTGAGGGAAAAAGCCGGACTCAGACCCCAAGAGGAGAGTCACCTACAGAGGCAGGATCCGGGACTCTGAAGAGATTTGTTCCACTGGATGATTCAGACCTCAGACACTGAATTGCTGGGTCATAAGCACTGGTGTTAGTTAACAGGGATGTCACCTTCAGACTTCCGTGGTAGGAGAATGTGGTGTCTGAGATCAGTTTGCCTGACTTTCACACCCTGCCAAGTCTGGGCCCTCTGAGACCCTGGGCAACTTGGGGCTGAGTGAGGGGACACACCTGGCATGACTTCCTGCCCTATCAGGCAGGGACAGACCGCTCCTGGGGTTGGGGTTCTGACTTCCCAGCACCTCAGGAAGGGGCTTGCGTCTAGTCCCTGCCTTGGACCTTAGTTACTGAACTACCTTCCATGCATGTCAGACCCACTTAGGGCTCCGTCTCCTCATCTGCAGTCGGGAATGAAGACACAGCAGCCCCTGAAGGCTGCTGCTCAGCATGGATGCCAGTGGACACAATGCCATGGAATGACCGAGCTGGTCGATGGAGCAGTGACCGGCTGGCTAAGGAAGGGCCAGCTGACCCTCCCAATTGCCAGCACTGCAAGTTCCACTCTGACTTGTCCATGATGGTGGCCTTCTGAGTCTGGTTTTTCCTTTTTAAGGAAGAGGGTGATCCATGAGGCAAATGTCCAGGCAGCCTCTGGGCCCTCTTACCTAGGCCTTTCTGTGGGGCTGGTGAGCGGAACTCCATGAGGTAACTCAGGTAGGGCTTCTCTGTGCTGATCTCATAGTACCGGATATTTCCGTCCCCCTGGGGGCAGGAGAGAGGGTGGTGAGCACGGTATGGCAGAGAGGGGGCTGAGCAGGCCCTGGTCCCAGGGTCTGCTGAAGAGAGCTGCCCTCGATGTGCATCAGAGCTCATCTAAGATCAGAGAGACCTGTGCTCTCCACTGGGCGGTCCTACCATGGGGACTGACTGGAGGTGGAGGCTGGAGGTGGGATGGGGTGGAGCGTGTGCGCGCAGGGGTGCGCGTGCGCGCAGGGCAGCATTTTTTTTTTTTTTTGACAAGTGAGACTATTGACTAGGGGCCTGTTGGTGTTTCGAATCCCACCGGTCCTCACCGTCTCTGCACTCCGGGCTCTGAGCTTGACTCCCACGTACAACCCGCACCCCTCACCTTCCAGGGAATTCTCACTCACTGCCAATTGGGTAGGAGCGAGTGTAGACTTAAGGGCAGTTGTAGGTGGGACACGATGAGACCCAGGACCTGGGATGATTCATGGGAAGTCAGAGAGGTGAGGGTGACTCTTCTTAGGAGGGTAAAGGTACCATGGGGGGAGGAGTATCCCACAGGTTGCCCCCCCCCACATTACCTTTCCAGCCAGGTAGAGCATGTGGGTGTCGGCATCATAGAAGGGGAACAGGAGGCCAGAGAGCCCATCAATTTCTTCCTCAGTCAGTGGCATGGACAGGTCCTCCTGTGGGGAGGCAGGGACAGGTCAGCCTATGTCCAGGCAAGACGGTACATCACTCCTTGAATCTCAGCAAAGCCCTCAGAGTCACAACCCTTTCATGCCAGGTCCCCCTCAGATGTTAAAAATCTTGTCCTGTGAGTGGGGGACAAGGCTGCACCTGTCATAAAAAGCAGCCAGGGCAGTAGGAAAGCCCAGCAGGAGGTAAGGACTTGTTCTCAGTGTCCCCTCTGCACACCCACTACTTGCTGTGTGCCCCCAGGCAGGCCTCCAGATCTCTCTGGAGCTCAACCCCAACTCAGGAGAAAGAAGTCAAGCATCTTGCAGTTGTGGGCAGGCATTGTCCCAAAGCCCTCTGAGCCCAGTGCCAGCTCCAAAGTCTCTGACTCGCTGGTGATGTTGTCAGAGCTGGCTGTGTGGGTACAGGCACCTGACTTCCTGAGGAAGTGGCCTCTGATGGAAGCCAAATGCTTCCTTTAGCCCAAACCCAGCTAGTTCTCATTCTCTGGCCTTCCTGCCCTCTGGCCCAGACCGCTCTGTCCTGCTGAGCCTTAGCAGCTTTTCTTAGCCTGAGACTTTATTTTATTTAAAAAAAAAATTGTTCTTTTTAGTTATACATGATAGTAGAGAGTATTTTGATACTTTATAAATACATGGAGTACGACTTCTCATTCTTCTGGTTGTACATGATGTAGAATCGCATTGGTCATGTGATCATATATGCGCATAGGATAGTAATGTCCGATTCATTCTACTGTCTTTCCTAGTCCCACTCCCCCCTCTCCCTCCCATTATCTTTTGTAATCGAGACAATAGGTCTTGTCTCAAGTGGCACAGAGAGTTGAAGCCACTCCCTTACTCCCTGCCCACCTCCGGGGCCTGCTTACTGGCCTGTGCCACTGCTCTGGGCCAGGAGGTAGTTGAGGAGAGGATATGCAAAAGGACTGGACACACAAGTCCCCATGACCCCGCAGACCCAGCTAGGAGACCGGCAAGGCCTGGCTAGAGGCCACAGTTGGACGTGGGCACACGTGCACACAGATGGAGGCAGCGCTGGGCAGGGGAGACATGCTCTGCTCCCACTCCCAGTGTGAAAATGCTGACCTGGCTCCCTGGAGGTTCTGCGGGCCTTGGCAAGGAGTTGCCTTGGCCCAGCGCACCCATGTCCCACTGCAGGGCGTAATCCCAGCACATGCTGGGGGTGCATGTGGAATGTGAGCCTGTGTCTGGGCTGATCAGTACCACATCCAGGCTCCAGCCAGGTGGCACTGCCTGATCCACTCTCCACCAGAGGATGGGCCACAGCCTTGGCCCTGTCCAGGTACCATCTATGGGTCCATCCCCCAGGACCACATGAGCCTCATCCAGCCCTTCCCTTCTCTTATATCTTGTCCCCCCTTCCACATGGAGCAGAGACCCTAGGAACCCAAGTCATAAACCTCTATTCTTGCCCCATCTGGGAAACAAGAGACCCCAGGTGCTCAGGCCTAGGTGACCTGCTCCCTTCCTGCCCACCACCTGGCCTCCCTGTACTGACCTGGTCCCAGAGGGCAATCTGTCTTGTGTTCCACCTGGAGACCCCTGTCGTGAGGAGCCGCTTCATGTTTCCTAGGAACACCACCCGGTTCACTCGGTGGTTTTTGCAGTTGGCCTCCTGGTGGGACAGGCAGAGAGTGAGCCAGGGACCCCAACTTTCAGGTACTATAGTGGCTGAATTGCGCCCACAGGAGATATCATCCTAATCCCAGGATACTATGGATGTTGGCTTATTTGGAGAAAGGATCTTCTTTTTAAAAAAATACGGGGGATTGAACTCAGGGGCACTTAACCGCTGAGCCACATCCCCAGCCCTTTTTTTATATTTTATTTAGAGACAGGGTCTTCCTGAGTTGCTTAGGGCCTCGCTAAATTGCTGAGGCTGGCTTTGAACTCACGATCTTCCTGTCTCAGCCTCCCAAGCCGCTGGGATTACAGGTGCGCGCCACCACGCCCAGCTGCAAAAAGGGTCCTTGCAGACGTAATTAGGTTAAGGATCCTGAGATGAGGGGTACCCCGGATTATATAGGTGGGCCCTAAATGACATCACAAGTGTCCTTGTAAGAGAAAGATGAGTATACAGACGCGAGGGGAGGCCAGGTGACCACGGCAACGGATACCAGAGTGCTGCAGCCACAGTCAAGGCAGCCAGCAGGCGCAGAAGCTGGAAGAGGTCAGAATGGATCCTCCCCCACAGCCTCTGGAGCGCGTTTGGCCCCGCTGACATCTCGATCTGGGGCATCTGGCCTCCAGAGCTGCGAAAGAGCACAGTTCTGTTGTTTTAAGCCACCTCATCTGTGGTGAGTTTTTGTAGCAGCGACAGGAAATAAACACAGGTGCTGTGGAGCAAGGGAGCCCCGGGAACCAGAAAGCCAGGCCTCTGTGGGCAGGAACAGGGCAGGGAGGGGTGAACTTCCACCAAGCCTCCTCCCCCAGGTGGGGGGGACACAGGTATCAGGTGCTCCCACCAGGGCATCTCTTAAACCTGACACTTGTTAGAAGGACTCATTATCCCCATTTTTTTTTTTTTTAAAGAGAGAGTGAGAGAGATAGAGGTAGAGAGAGAGAGAATTTTTTAATATTTATTTTTTAGTATTTGGCGGACACAACATCTTTGTTTGTATGTGGTGCTGAGGATCGAACCCGGGCCGCACGCATGCCAGGCGAGCGCGCTACCGCTTGAGCCACATCCCCAGCCCCTCATTATCCCCATTTTGAGGACAAGGAAACTGAGGCTCAGGAGGACACAGGACACTGCTGCTTCAATGTACAGTAACCTGGTTTCAACAGGAGGCTCCTTCTTAACTGAGCGCGCTCCTGCTCCTACCACACTGAGTTCCTCCTGACTCACCACAGTCCTTCGCCAGGTGAGTCAGCACCAGGTTGGAAAGGAGCAGGGGGCAGCCCAAAGGTCCAGGCTGGCTGCACTTGATTTGGGCTTTAGTCCCAGTTCTGCCAAAAAAAGAAAAAAAAAGCATACCCTGGGAGAAGCCTTCGGCCTCCCTGGGCTTGGATCCTCATCTGTGAGTTGGAGGCCGGTCCTCTGTGCTCCAGCACCCTTTCTGTTCGGTGTGGGTGCTGGGCTTGAATTCTAGCCCCGCCCCACGGACCGTGAAATTTGTTTCTCAACCTCCCTAAGGATCAGTGTTGTCATGTGTAAAACGGGAAGAGCAACAGTACCCACCTGGGAGGGCTGTCCTGAGGACAAACAGCAGTAACAATGCAGAGGCCTGGCAAGTGTCTGTCACTCAGCAACCCCCAGTAAATGTTGGTGAATACTGATGATACTAACAATGGGATTATTTTATCTGTAGTCCCAGTAGAAGATGACTTTCTGGTGTTGCAATTTTGGATTCTTCCAAGATTAACACACCCAGGTCAAGCACTGATCTCTCTTATATGGTAGGCAAACCTTCAATGGCTTCCATATTTTCCATGCTATGCAGCCCAGTGAATGGCATACAGTAGGTGCTCAAGAAATGTTCATTTGTTACTCTTGAATGGAACCTACCCCCTTCCTCACACTTCAGACTCAGGACATTCAAAGACCAAAAGTAGAGCTAAGGTCACCACCAACCTCCCCACTTGGAGCCTTCTGTGAGGATGGTTCCCTGAGCCATTTCCCCAGCTCATCCCAGGCAGGTGGCTGGGCAGTGAGTCCAAAGTCTCCTCCTTCTATGCCCATGATGGGAGTTGGTTGACACCTGGGGATTCATGTGCTTAAGATGTCATCCCAACAGGCCAGAAGAATCCCATCTGGAGGAGGCAGGTGAAGTGGGAACAGGAAAAGGTACTGGGTCCCTTCCCACCCAGAACAAGGCAGGACTCCTACAAGCAGAGAAGCTGCCAGAGCAGATGGGCTGGAACAGGTGACCACCAGAGTGTGAGAGGAGGGCCCCAGCACGACCTCTTCCTCCAGGCCTGGTAGAAAGCGGAGCCCCAGGCCCAACACCTTCTCCCCCCACCTCAAAAAAATGTGGGGTTCCACCTGCAGAACGCGGCCAGAGCGGGGCTCGATCACGCGCAGCTTCTTGTCCTTGCAGGTGGTGGTGAGCAGGCTGCCGTCGGTGTTGAAGGACATGCAGAGGATCACATCAGTGTGGCAGTCGATCATCTTCACCGGCTCGCCCACGTCCAGGTTCCAGATGAGGACCTGAGAAGGCAGAAACGCAGCAGGGGGGTCAGCTGCTGCTCTAGTGTGGGCGTCTGTCCTCGATCCACCCCTGGTTGCCCTGGGAGAAACACCTCGTGCAAAGGCTGCTGTGTGCTGGGCTGCAGCCTGGTGACATTGAGTTCTATTCAGAAAAGCTGACGCGTCTGGTTATACAGATGCACTAATATTCCTTGCCTGGTCCCAGGTGGCTGGCACCCCTCTGTGGAGGACATGCTTGGAGTCAGGGGATGGGGCTCTATTTTCTTCCCTCCAGTTCATCAACCACCAGAGAAGGCAGGGAAGATGCCTCTAGCCCCTGTGGACCCCAGGAACAATGGGGTGCATGTGAGATGCTCAGTCGTGTGTAGTAAATGAATGAGAGAATGAATGAATGAATGAGACCACAGTAGTGAACATGCTTAGGAAAAGGCCTCCCTATAGATCCCCAAACATCCCCTTCTCTCTCCCTACCCCTTCCCACTGATTGACTCTGCCCCACTGCCCCGCCCTGCTGTGCACCTTGTAGTCGTAGCCTGCGCTGAACAGGATGTTGTTGGTGGTGGGGTGCCACTCGACCAGCCCCACGCGTCGGCTGTGTCCATGGAGCTCCAGGAGCGCCTCCGTCATGTTCCGCTTCAGCCCACCCTCAGGGATCTCCCAGATCCGCACCTGCAGAGGGGAACCAAGGGCTTTGGCTGGGCGGACAGGGAGAGGAGTTGATAATGAGGGTTCTTTTCCTGGGATACCCAGCTTTCAAAGGCTTGCCAAGTGAGGCACCTCCTGGTTCCGGGCAATAGGTGAAGCCTGACCAGAGGCCTCTGGGAAGGTGCCAAGAGTGGCCAGAGAGGAGATCAGCTCCCCTTTGCCTTTGGGAGTTTTACTCTAAGAAGTCTCTGCAGACCTAAGAAGATGATTCCTGGCATGCAGATGTTGCTGGGGTCAGCCAGGTTCAGGACCATGTGCATGCAGCTTTTAGCAAGCGCTGGAGTAGAAAGCCTATCTTCACCTCCACTTCACAGCCTTCCATGAGAATCTGCCTTCCTTCTTCTCTCCTCAGCCCCAGCTCCTGATGGTTCCTCATGGCCTGGGCCCCCACTCTGTGCCCAACCCAGTAGGGACACTTGAGTTGGGGGAAATGCATCTGGGAGGCTGGGAGGTCCCAGTCTGTCCTGAGAGGTGATGGACTCGGGGGAGTGACTTGGCTTGGAGTCACTGAGCCTAAAACATGGGCAGAGCCTAGAATGGAGTTGCTATTTTCAGTCTTGTGGATGCTGAAAAGAGGCAGAAAAAGGTGATCTGCTAAGAGGAGGTTGGGACATGCAGAGAACAGTGGAGAAGAGAGTCCACGTAGCCACAGAGAGACGAGTTAAGCCCCTTCTCTGCAAATAACCCCCTGCACCCTGGGACTCCTGACATTACCCTGGTGGGCTTCTGTCACTCACTGTGTCATCTATATAGCGGGGGTGGGGAGGGTGGGTGCCCCTGGCTCTGCCTTGTGTACTGGTGGTATAACATGAGACAAGGTTGCAACTATTTGTGAAGGTGCTCTGAACAGACCTGTGGACAGTTCTTGTTATTATCATCATAAATTTTATGTATTAGAATCTAACCAAGTGGAAAGGAAAGAGCAGGTGGGATTACAATTTGGACATCTTTAAAGCAACTCTTTTGAAAACCTGAACTCTACCCTTGCTAGTAAAGAGAAAACAGGAAAACTGGCTTTGAGATACCATTTGAAATCCACTAAAATAGCCAACTGGGTGGGGGAGGGGGAGTCAGTGTTGGCAAGATTATGCTGGAACTTGTAGATACCATTGGGGTTGGCAGTATTATAAATCAGAGGAGCTCTTTTGGATGCAATTTGGCAAACTTTAGGAGGAACCATAAAGACATTTATAGTAGACTCTTTGACTCCATAACTTCACTCTAAAAATTCAATGTGCACATGAAGATGTTCATTGCAACATCATCTAAACAGAAAATGTAGAAACACTCTAGGTAACTGACAATTTAATATGCTCTGTCAGTATGTCCTAGTAGCCATTGGTTATAATCGTGAAGGCTGCAGATAATCACAAAGAGCATGATAAGGACAGCCAAAGGCCGACTCTGGGCCTGAGGAGTAAGACCAGGAATGAGCACCTCCAGGGAATTCCTTTAAGTCTCCTATGCAAAAAGGCACTTCCTCCTGAGTCCTCAGAGGTGAGGTTTCCGGACACTTGTGTCCCCCAGGACTCACGCACCAGTTGACTGGGAGGTTTTCAGATAAGAAAGTCAGGTTCAAGCAAGGACTGGGGGTCACCCCATATGCACCCTTCTCAGTTTCAGAAAATCATCTTCAAATGCACACTGCAGAAAAAGTTGATAATTAGGGGACAGTTGCAAATGTTCTTTTGTCCCCATTTCCCCACTGTCATCCCTTTTGGTGGCTCCAACCCTCCAGTAAAGCCTGACATTTCTGTTGGGGAGGGAAGTAAACTTGAAGAGGGACCTGCCATGCCCCACAGTCTTCCTTGACAGTTGCTACGCAAGGGTGTGCAGGCATGAGGGCAGATCTGGGTGTGGCGGGAAGAGGGCTGGGGACGAGCTGCTAGGTACAACCACCTGGCTGTCAACTGGTACGCATGTTTCTTTGTCCCTAAGATGTAACACAGGAAAGTGACTCTTGAAACAGGAAGACTAATGCTTGTATTAGACACATGTACAACACACACACACACACACACACTTACTTCTTTCCTTTTTACCAAAAAGAAACTGTATCATATGTTCTTCAGCTTGATTTTTTCATGTAACTATAGCCACTCAGCCACGTCCCCAGCCTGTTTTTAATTTTAGTTTTTCAGTTTTGAGATAGGACCTTGCTAAGTTGCTGAGGCTGGCTTTGAATTTGGGATCTGCCTGTCTCAGCCTCCTGAGTTGCTGGGATTACAGGTGTGCACCACTGTGCCCAGTTTACCTTATCTTTTTAAATGGCCAGAGTGACATCTGTTATATGACTGTCCCAAGGTGAATTTGCTCAGTCTCTATTAACTGACATCTGGGTTCTGAGCATTACTTTTTCACGATTGCAATTCATTGTATGATGATGAACACACAAGTGTGTTCATGGTGTGAATATTCTTGAAGGACAAATGCCTAGGTATGCATCATCTTTTTAAAATAGTTATGGTAAAATTGTTCCCCAAAGTCACCCTTACTTCTACCCTCAGAGTCTGAGGACACTTCTTCACCTATTCCTCTAAATAGTACTTTCTTTGCAGGTGTGGCACTGGTGTCAAACTCCATGGCAGGGCATGTTACCACTCAGCTACACCTAGGACCTTTATTTTTTATTTTTTTGAGACAGGATTTTGCTAAGTTGATGAGGCTGACCTTGAACTTCTGATCTTTTCACCCTCCCAAGTTGCTGATTTTGCAGGCTAGTAATGTTTGGGGTCAGCGGTAGAGAGTGCCTAGCACCTAGTACTGCAGACAAAAAATTTTAAAAGACTGATTTTTACCCATCTGGAAGGTCAAAAATACCATCTGGTTGTTGTTTGGCTTTTCGTTTCCTTGACTCTTAGAAATACCAGGCATTCTTCCTGGTGTTATTGGCCACACTTGTCTGTGCTTGGGTTGGAAGGTCTCAAAAGCTTTTGGACTCAGATTGATGAGACTTTGAGAGGTGGAATCACAGGGGTGTTGGGGTAAGGACTCCGTCTAGGGACTTGCCTTACTTGAGCATGGTAGGCAGTCTGTGCACATGGTGATGCGGGCAGGAAATTGTCCCTCGCCAATGTGAGGGATCTTTGAAGACTCCCATAAGTCAACAGGACCCATGTTGAGCTTATCCCATGCTGCTCTTGATGTTAGGGGACAGACAGATGATGATATGGGAACATGAAGTTAAGAGAATAATTCTATAAAATGGCCATAGTGCTGACCCCCACATGTTTTCTTTTCCAAGAAGCAATTTACCTGCAGCCCTGCCCCGCCTAAGTGGACAGGATATCTCACATTCCTTAGCAAATTACCTGTTCACTGCCCGAGAAATGCAGGCCCAAAATAATGTCGATGGGTAGAACCCAAGAGATTTTTGTGACCAGATCTGAAACTCTGAGAGATAAGGATAGTTCCTCCCAACCATGAAATTCATAAGAATGTATGGTTAAGAATCCAGTTAGAACCAGGCCTAAAGATGCTCTGCTTGAGCCTGGAGTCTCAGGAAAAGAACGCTTGCTCAGGACAACCTCACTTATGAGCAGCCAACTGAGGTGAGCCTGGGTTGTCCCTGCGTGCTGGCCCAAGGCAGGGACGTCAGGACAGGTGCGATGCTCCTTCCACCGGGTGCCAATCCCACACACTAGGAGAGTGACAGGATGAGCCAGTTACCTCTGCTGCTCTGGCTCTTGGTTTAGGAAGTAGAGACCTGAGTGCTGGTACATGCATGGGTTATCTACACTGCATTTCTGGGTCACAAGAGCTGATTTGTTGGGGTGACAGCTCTGCTTGGGAGCCTGGGGATGGAGGAGGGGCTGCAGCAGGGCAGGTGGTGCCCAGGTGGCAGGCCCTGCCTGGATCCAAGTCTCATGGATCAAAGGGCTACAGGTAGAAGCCAACAGAGTTGTTTTCACTGACAGTTGTTAGATGTAGGATCCCAGACGGGAGTTGGGGGACCAGGATGAATAAATATAACTGAAAGAGGTACTTTGCCTTGTCACCATTTGATACCAGCCACTTCCCTTCCTGGGCCCTGGTTTCCTCATCCACCCATTGAGACGTTATTAGTTCATCCCCCAAACTTTTCTGCTTTTGACACCACTGAATGCGTTCGTGGGAAGGAGGCTGTTCTACTTGAACTACAGCGACCGCAAACAGTTGGTGCCAGATGCTCTTAAAGCTCAGAGGTTGCGCTGGAGTTCCCAGTGGGCCTGAGTCACTGAGAAAGGACCTCCTAGCCTTGCCTTTAGTATTTAAGGGATTCTCTAGAAACTAAGAACGGGTCGGATGTGGGAGGAGCACTGTGAATCTGACCTCTGGGAGGTCACTTGGATTGGACAGGAAAGTCAATAGTCTGCCAAACAGGATTTCAGGGAGGAAGGGGTGGGGAGGAGAAGTGGCAAAACAACCAATCTCTGCTGCAGGCCAGCGGTGCCCGGGGCTGCCCCTTGGTGAGCGCCTGGGTCAGAGCCGGTTTAACTGTTCTGTTCCATCCAAGAGAATATTCCACCCTGCCCTGTGCCCCCAGGGGACAGTCCAGGGTCTCTGGGAGCCCAGGTTCTTTTGAGGAGACAGTAGACGTGTGCAGACGCAGTAAAGGCAGCTGACAGGGTGGCCTAGAGACCAAACACCCACACGTGGGGAGTGGGGGTGGGGCAGAGCTGCTGGTCAACAAAGTAAGAGCTCTGTGCTCTCCCGCGCTTGTTCCAGACCAGGCTCTGACCTTACTGGCAGGAGACTTTGGCCAAGTCACTTAGCCTGAGTGTCAGTCTTTTCACTGAAGGATAATTATACCCATTCGACAAAGTTGCCATGGAGACCTAATAAAGACAAAATATATGCACTACCAGATTACCAAGGACTTGATAATTCCGAAGGATGCTTACTTAATATTAATTAAGGATTACATACAACTTTTCATATGGGTCAAACTTAGATGTGATTTTTATTTTTCATGTGCATTTTTT